TGGCCCCTGGCCCCTCGCCCCGCCGCCTTCAGGCACCGGCCGCTCGTGAGGGTCAGGATGTCCCACCGAAGGAGGCCGTGAGGCTCCCAGCCAGCTCCTGGGCTCCCGTCCCTCCCCCTGCAGTGCTTTAAACTCTCACCCGGCTTTCAGAAGGCATTTTTACTTTAAGAAAAAATGAATTAGGGGCTAAAATCTCAAAACACCAAACGATTTCTTGTTTTAAGATGTGTAAGTCAGTGTTTAAGAAAATCGTTGGCCGTTACGAGGAAAGGAGGAGGAACCTGCGACGAGGGCAGGGCCCCTCCCCGTTGCTCCATCCGCAGTGGCGGTGGACATCGTTAGGAGGCCATTTGAAAACGGTGTTTGCGCATTAAATACGGTTTTATAACTAATTCAGCTTACAGATTTTACATTAAAAATGTATTTTAAAAAAGGCCCTTTCCCACTGGAGGGATTTTTCTGTGAAATGCTAGATTAGAAATGATCTTCACCTAAAATCTCGTGTCTCCACTAGGCCAGGTGGTTGCAGCTCTTCAGCCTGGTGGAGACGCAGTGCCAGGAGCAGATCGCTGCCCAGCAGGCGCAGTTCCACACGCAGGTCCAGGTGAGTCCCCCTCCCGGGCTCCTTAGCCCTGAGGTTTGCAGAGCCAACTGAGACTTTATATCAACTTTGTTTGCAAACTAAAGCACAGCGTTCATGTCATCTTCACAGTCATATCGCGTACTTTGAACACTGTTTTCATACCATTTATAAAATGTGGTGTTGATACACTTTCTTACCCAAACCTGTAACTTTCTTTTCAGCGGATACAGGAGGAGATAAAAAACCTGGTCAAGTTACAGAGCAGTAATGCTGCGCGGGCTTCGTGCCACACAAGCTCTTTAAGCAAACACATCTCTCCTGGAAGGCAGATGGGTTTCTTTTCGGAAAACAGTGACAGAAATGAGTCTGTTCTCAGCTACCCGAAGTCTAAGGAGCCCGAGACGCAGCAGGACACGGCCCCGTCCCAGCCTGACTGCACCATGGACAGCAGCTCCGTGAGCAGCGGCTACGGCACCTTCTGCGTCTCAGAGTTAAACACCTACACGCCCAAGGGCCCCCAGGACTTCAGGGAGCCCGCAGAGGCCTCTGCGGGGCAGTGCGGGGTGCCCGCGGTGCAGGACTCGGCCCTCGTGGACAGAGGAAAATACAAGCGTTTCTTCTTCCACTCTCCTGAAGAGCTCGGTGCCTCCTTAAAGGAACAGATTCCCGTTTTCCCTGCAGAATTTGAACACAGTTTTCTTGGTGAGAGTCAGATTTCGGAAGTATACAGTGGGAAAGCAAACAGGTAAGCAGGGTTTCTGCAGCATTTGTGGGGGAGTTTACGTGTTTGTTACACTTTGAATCTAGTAAATAAAGCTCCTTTTGGTTGGACTGTAATAGAAGGAGGTGTGTTTGAGCATTTATCAGTTTTACCGACGTCTTTCGTTTAGTACCTGCGGGCGTTGAAATAAACAAAGCACGTTATATCCTAATGACATCTGATGTTTTCCCTGTTTGTGATGCTATTAGACAAACTCTTAAGGTGGAAAGGAGGCCTGGCCAGAAAAATACGGTATCTTGTAGGTTTTCTAGTCACTAGAAACTTGCTGAAAATGACAGAATGGGACCGTGTCAGGAGTGGGATTTTGCCACACGTTCGTATGATTGGAAATAAAAAATTATACACAAGCAAGAAGCGTTTTTCTCAGTCTGTTGAGATCTTGCTCTAGGCGTGTCCTCTGATTGGCTCAAGTAAACTTTATATTTTATAAAAAAGTATACGTAAGCGTGCTTAATTGTGTTTTTTATATATAAGAAGAGATCTGTAAGTTTAAGGACATTTTGATTGATCCAGGGAGTTTTTAGTGAAGGACACTGTAGCTGAATGTTTGTAAAACAAAAAATCATTTGAAAGTGTGTAGTTTCTCTTGAATTTCCAGTTCTGTGTCTCTGAAATGTGCCCTCTGAAGTAAGGTTTGGAGCCATAGCAACAGCAGCCTTGTGCGCAGACAGGGTAGTTACCAGTCCATGCAAATCAACCTGTCCTCACTGTGGGGAGATTTGGAGCTCGAGGGTCCCTGTGTGGCTCTGCTCCAGTCCCTGTGTGTTGTTAGTCCCTGTCGGTCTCTCAGTTCACTTTGCCTTTGGTAGCGAGAAACTGGAAGGAGAAATGTAGGTGAACCCGTAAGTGTCCATCCTGTCTTTGCTCTTAGAAAACAACGCAAAGCCCTTTGCACGGACACAGCGGGGGCGTGCGTTGGTTTCCCGCGGGAAAGGCAGCCTCTGAGGAGCCATGTCGGTTTTCTCTCTCTGAGTAGTAAAGCGATAACGTCATGGGCCCAGAAGCTGAAGCAAAACCACCCAAAGGGAGCTCACGCGGAGGAGGGACGCCCCAGACTCACGCATGGAGGCGAGCGGCCCCAGAGAGCGCCGGCGGAGAAGGTAGGCGACACATCACACGACTGCATTTCATCCAATCAGATGGGGCCAGCTTCTAAAGTTTGGAAGAAACCCGACTTTCCAATTTCAACATATTATACTGAACAATGCTATTTCCTGGTAATTCAGGTCACGGGGCTTTAGAGATTCCTAAAACGTATCAATATCCATAAATCTAACGAAAGCAGCTACTATGTTAGCAAAAGGGCCACAGAGGGTTTAAACACATAATGTCTTATAACTTGGGTTATAAATTCAGAGCTGTCCAGATGCCACCATTTTTATACACAGGATCTGAAAGCCTTCACATACTCACTACTACGTCTCACAGCTCAGTAGTAGCACAAATTATTTGAGGGTTTTTTAAACAACTAAATGAATTACTCTTGGGTTAAATGTGACATTTGCAGTAGAAACATAATTAGGGCCTTTGCAATTCAGTTCATTTTTTCTAGTATTTCCTCCCTCATGAGTGTTGATTTCTGGAAAGAACCAAGACTTAGAGCCAGCCACTGTTTCCACCCCCTTGTGCCGCCAAAAGGCAGAGCTGTCAATGGAACAAACTGACCATGCTAAAGAAAAGGCAGAATGTCGGTGCAGCTCTTTTGAGGCGCATCTTGAAGTTGGGTGTTGTTTAGCATAAGGATTGTCCAAAGCTCAAGTCTGTCTTTGTTTCCCCGGGCTGGGACAGACCTGATGTTACCACTCCCCCGGCTGCAGACTCTGGTGGCTTTCCAGTGAGGGCGAGGCTCAGCCAGCTTCCTGGGAAGGGCTTTCACTTCGTCTGTTACGTACTGACTGGTCAGAAATGCGACCAGGTGGGCGTTTCAGAGGAGGCCGGAGATGACATAGGAATTTCTCAGTGAGGAGAAGACGCTCAGCCTCCCCCGGGGCCCAGGTGACGGCCCCTCCTCGGTGGGCTCTGCCTGTGCAGGGGCCACGTGTGTGAGCCCAGGCTGCAGCTGCAGTGGCTTAACCGGGTGGAAGTTTGATGGTGGTGGGACTAAGAAACTTTCAGGTTAAAATAACCTTCTCACATTTCTATCTGGAAACACAGATTTCTGTGACAACGCCAGAGACCGTAAGGAGAGACTGGCTCAGAATTCTTATTAGAATTAATGAGCCAGCGTTCTGAGCCTTTTCTGAGTCTATAACCAATTGTTTGTATGTAAGACGGAGTCTGCTATTTAAAGTTCACGTTAATTATTGTTTGTGGTTTTCAGAGTTGGCTTGATTTATTGCAGTTTGAATGATAAAATGAATTATTATAGCTCTTATATTAATTTTTGTACCAAAGGACTTTGATCCTAGGCACCTCACATTTCTTTGGGAAGTAGATGGCAAATTAGAAATGCATTTCATTCCAAACTCGTTGATAACACCTGCTCCCGGTTTTCTCCTCCCAGCTCCACAGAAAACCCCAGTTAACTTTTGTGAATTACCCAGGAAAAGACTTACTGATAGTTCCCGCTGTTTTGCATCCTTGTAACCAGAGGGCCCGCGGCCTCCTCCGAGCCTGGCCTTGGCCCTGGGTCCCAGGGTCGGCCGTGTGCCTGAGGGTGTTGGGCTGTCCTCACAGTGTCCCTCTTGAATCGCAGTCGGAGTTGGAGTTCGCCGCTGCTACACCGCCTCGTGCTTTTTACCTCAGCAAACCAGATGAAAGTCCCAGTTTTTGGATGCCCGATTCCGGAGCAGGTACGAGACTTACATTTTTAAAGAGTATTTTTTCTTTTTTAAAAATAATAACAACTGCATTTCCCACGGGCGAGGCTCAGGGCAGTGGGTAGAGTGGTGTCTGTCAGGCTCCACGAGTGGCCGTGGCAGCTGTCAGCCCCTCCCCTGGTGTCCGGATGCCGCCGGGAGAGAGGATGTGAGTCTGCAGGCTTCAGGCAGCTGCAGGATCATCTCGGTGCATCTCAGGTGCCGCACAGGGAATGAGACGCAAGCCCTCTGCGAGCCGGTCTCCACTCCGTGGGAGCCTCATTTTAGTTCTGATGGTCTGACACAGGGGCTCCCTGTCCACACTCCACATCCAGTTCACCGGGATGAGTTAGCTTTGCTCCTAAAGAGTGCCCGACTCCAACCACCTTCACGCTGTCAGCGTAATAGAGCCCGTCATCTGTCATCTGGGCTCCTGCAACTTCTAACCAGCCTCCCGGGCTCACCTTTCCATCTGTGCTTCGAACAGAGCCAGCTGCTCCTTTTAGAGATGAGTCAGGCCATGTGACTCCTCGGCTCAGACTCGGGTTCCGCCTCCCTGGAGTGACAGGAGTCCGGCGGGGTGCCTCTGGCTCACGCCCTGCTGCTCTCCTGTCCCTGCTTCTCGGGGGCTGTTGGCCACACTTGCCAGATAGGCTCTCAGGTTAGGGCTTTTGCCTGGGCTGCTGCTTGCACTTGGAATGTGCCCCCCATGGGATCTGCCTCACATGTGGCTAAAATGGCCAGCTCCTGCTTAACTGTTACCTCGCAGAAGGCCAGCCCTGACCTGTTCAGAAAGAGCACCTGCCCACCTCCCATTACATGTTCTCTTCTGTCCAGTTCTTAAATGTTTCCAGCCGAGTGCCTCCCAGCCTCTAACTTCACATATTGTGTGATTTTCTGATTGTTCGGGTCCCCCCTCGCCTGGCACAGTAAACGCTCCATAAATACTGTAGTTATTGAATTCTTTACGTTGATCATGAGATCTGTACTATTCATAAAGACTTTTTTTTTAAATGATGCTAGCTGATCTTGACTTGTCATATTTCAGTTTTAAATGTTTGGACTGTGACAGGCTCTTCCATGGGAAGGCACTTATGTGAACCTTTTCCTATTCAGATGGGCAAAGACCAGTCACTTCCGCATTTCGCTTTCTTTAGGTAGAAATAAGTTGTTGTAGAAACACTTCTGTTCTCTGTCCTCTGTGCTGTGCTCAGGCCTGACCTACTGGAAGCTGGAGGAGAAGGACCTGTACCACCCGCTGCCCGAGGCGTCCCTGTCTTCCACCCGCGTGTCGGCCAGCCAGGTAAGTCGGACACGACCTGTGGGTTTGCGCTGTCACAGGGCAGGCAAGTCCTCCATTTCAGTACACGGTCTATACTTTTCTATTTCTGACGCAGAGAAGAAAGCATGGGGTTAAACCATAGGCACCTGCTCTCAGAGTCTGTCTCTCTCGTCGCCTGTGTGATCTCAGGGAGGTTATTTAGAAGTGGGATTTAAAAAGCCCAGTGAAGCCGGGCGTGGCTCAGCGGTTGAGCATCGACCTAGGATCCAGGAGATCGCAGTTCACTTCCCGGTCAGGGCACATGCCTGGGTTTCCGGCTCGATCCCCGGGGGGGGTGGTGCAGAAGGCAGCCGATCAATGACTCTCATCATTGACGTTTCTCTTTCTCCCTCTCCCTTCCTCTCTGAAATCAGTAAAAATATATTTTCTTAAAAAGCCCATTGAGCCCTGGCTGGTTTGCCTCAGTGGTTGGAGCATCGGCCTGTGGACTGAGGGTCTCAGGTTTGATTCTGGCCAAGGGCACGTACCTTGGTTGCAGGCTCGATCCCTGGCCCCAGTGGTTGGGGTGTGTGCAGGAGGCAGCCAATCGATGTGTCTCACATCGGTGTTTCTGTGTCTCTCTCCCTCCCACTCTCTCTGAAAAGCAATTGAAAAAATATCCTCAGGTGTGTGGGGGGAAGCCCAGTGAGTGCTTTGTGAAGTTAAACGAGGTTCTGTGCCTGCTATTTTACGTGCAGAGGGTCCACATATACACTTCCCCTGCTCTCGGACCTGGTTGGGTTTTCCACCCCATCACCCCCCCAACCCATCTGTATTCTCATGCTGAGCAGTTTAATTGGCAGGTTAATTTTGAGTGAGAAATGTAAACATTTCAGAGCAAAGAAATAAAACTCTCCAATATGTGCACATTGAGGTACATGCCTCACTTCTGTGTTTCGATCAGGTGATGAGAGGGAGAGGGAGAGAGACGAAGGAAGTGACCAGGAGAGCTGAGCCCGAGGGACGGACAGACGGGGTGCAGCAGACCTGCAGACACCAGGGGCCGGGAGGCCAGTGGGCTTTGTGCTCCCAGGCTCCCTGTGGTGCTTGATCTGCGGCGTCAGCAGTTAACACTGTGTGTGTGACCCAGATGCCGCCCATTTCAGGGCTTCCTGCCTCACAGGCTCCCAAGAGAAAGATGACCAGCTCGACTGATGCGTGCTCGCTTACTTATCACTGAGAATTTCTGTTCTTTTTTACAGAAAGAGCTTGTAATTAAGCACAGGTTTCTGTTGTGTAAATCTCATACTTGGGAAGGAAAATGTAGGTGAAATACATTTGTTCAAACCTCTTCACCTGAGAGGCTCACCCTCTTCCATCCCAGTGCCGGGTTCTGGTTCCCACACTGCTCTCGGTGGTGACCTGGCGTTTCTTTAAACGCGATGAAGGGCCCTGGTGCCACTCTGGGCAGCTGTGCGGGGCTGGCCCACTTCCCCTCCCCGACTGCGGGGGGACAGTGTTGCCAAGCAGGTCCGCTTCCCGTCCCGTAAGTAGCGGCTCTCAGCAGTTCCAGCGTCGCCCCGGGACTCCTGTGGCCAGTCTTGATGGCTCTGGTAGTTGCTCACGAGCAGGCAGTGACAGACACGTCACAGCTGTCACTTGACTGAAGTAGCTGCAAGATGCCAGAAATTACAAGAGGCCTTGCTTCAGAGATCTTACAATATGAAGGGAAATGGAGTCACCAAAGTGGGGACACGTGGTGGCTGTACCACCAGGAGTTCTAAGTAAATAACTTCGCTTGCCCAGGCCACTGGGCAGGGGTCCCAAGGCTGGAGCCCGGGCCAGGGCTGGAGCTGGAACTGGAGCTGGAGCGCTGCTGCTGGTCCCTGGCCTCGAGGCTTGAACAAGGCCTCTGGGTTGTTGGTATAGAAAACGTGAAGTTTTAAAACAGGATTATGGGGAATTTTAAGGGTTTACATTTGACAAATTAATGCCTTAGATACACCCACATAAATATAATGGATTGTCTTATTTGCAAGCTAGTTCTAGGGTTGATTTAGAAACACTAATTCATGGTGCCTGCCGCCCGCGCTGGGTCCGGAAATGGGACCTAGGTTAGAGCTGAGTGATGACTGTGTTCTTTCAGTGTGTCCCTCGTGGAACCTGTAACCTCACCTGACAGAAGGTCCACGGGTTATTAACAAGGTTAAGTGGTCCCTTGTCACACCCACAGCAGCTCCCACCTTGAAGTAATTTAAACCCAGAGTTTTACCACTTGGAGCGTAGACCGAGTTGCAGTATTTCCAGCGTAGCGGGGCCTGGATGTCAGGCTGTAGACACACTTTCTCCCTGTCTGCCAGCTCTTGAGGTGAACGTGGCCACACAGGTAAGGGACCGCACCTCTCGACAGCCGTCCCCGAGCCGCAGGAAGTTGACCTGGGGCAGTGTCCTGCCAGCTTCATCCCCTCGTTCTGAAGTCTTGTCTCAAAACCTGGTCCTTATTTTGAGTAGGGGGCTACCAAGGATTTTATTCTTTGAAAATATCTAGGCTGCTAAAGAATTAGGTTCAAATAACTCCCTTAGTATTTATTGTGAGGGATATGAAAACATTCTCATTGTGAGGGACACTCGTTATTACAGGTTTTGACCTCTAAACCTTTACTATAAATCTACAGCCCAAAGTCTCCATTTACTTAAAGCCTTTTTAAAATCTCTTTATGGTGCTGATCGTGATATCAGTCAACTTTTTCGTTGTTGCTGATACCACTGAAATGATTGTGTTTTGTGTCTTTAAGTCCAACACTAGCAGTGAGATGAGGCTCCCGTCACTGAAGGACATTTATCATAAAAAGCAAAGGGAGACCAAGCAGTTACCAGAGAGGGATCTCGCGCCTGCCTGCAGCCTGGAGCACCCGCCCGAGGTAACGTGGCCGCCGCCCTGCGGGGGGCTCGGGGCTGCGCCCACCCGCCTGGCCTCCGCTCCCTCTCCCCAGGAGCCTGCGGCTGCGCACCCCAGCACCGGCCCCGCGCAGTGGGGAACATGCGGCCGTCTCTCCTTCCAGGTGCTGACTCTCGACCCAACGTTACACAGGAGGCCGGGTGGGCCGGTTTCAGGGGCCCAGCCGCCTGGCTTTCTGAACGTCCTGCAGGACAGGCTCTCCTCGCCGGACTCAGTCCCGGAGCCCAGTGTGTCTGCTCACTCTGATATTGACTCGTTCTCACAAGCAAGTAATGTCCCTTCCCAGCTGTCTGGGTTCCCAAAATGCCCCTCAGATGCGAAAGCGTCAACAGGGGCCTCCTGGAAGAGCCCCGTCTCCCCCAGCGGGAGCAGGACCAGCTCCACATTCCCCTCGGTCTATACTGTGACCTGCAACGACACCTCGGTCAGCACGGTGGAGGAGGGCTCTGTCATGGTAACTGCAGCCTCGTTCGGTCAGTCCCAGCTCCCAGGGACAGCCAGCGGCGGCCCAGAGTGCGTTTCCTTGGCTTCCCTGGAAGACCCCGGGCTGCTGTCTAAGTATGTATTTCAGCTGCTGTGTGTCTCTTACTCCATTCCCTGTGGTGTCTGCTTAAATGATGAAAGTGATTTCTTTTGAACTTCAGTGTTAAAAAGAGATAGGTCCAGCCGGGTGGCTCAGCGGTTGAGCCTTGACCTGGGATCCAGGAGGTCACGGTTCGATTCCCAGCCAGGGCACATGACCCGGTTGTGGGCTCGATCCCCGGTGGGGGGGCGTGCAGGAGGCAGCCGATCAGTGACTCTCTTGCATCATTGATGTTTCTCTCCCTCTCCCTTCCTTTCTCTGAAATCAACAAAAATATTTTTAAGGAGAGAGAGAGCATTTTTAAGGTAGATCATCAAAAAATTAAGTAATCCATGTCTTTTTTCTCTTTATTAGTGTTCAACTTGTATATTAATCTATTTCCTGAGTGTGCAAAGGAAAGGCTGCATTTTCACATAGAAAGACTGTTCCTAGTTGCTCTTTGGGGTTAGAGATGAGGCCATGGTTCCTAATAAACCTTTTACTCCCCCCGACAGCATCCGGCAGAACCTGAAGGAAAAGCACGCCCGGCACATAGCCGACCTTCGGGCTTATTACGAGTCAGAAATAACCAGCTTGAAACAGAAACTGGAGGCAAAAGAAATGTCTGCAGTTGAAGACTGGAAGAAGACCAATCAGATTCTTGTGGACAGGTAGAACTTAACGTTTAACTGCAATTAAAAAGTATAATTTAGCTGTCAGTGTTTCTCCAATTTGGAGATACTATTTTCCCCCAAGTATAATATATCGTGATGATAAAACACTTTAAAGTCCTGTGCTTCAGGTGTGAACATTTTAACACTGAAAACATGTTTGCCTAAGTATTTGTACAGATTCGAACCAGCCTCTTAGACTATACTAGTAACTGACAGCTGGTTCATGTGGGCAAAATCCTGAAACAGTTGAGCAGCTTTGTGTGTGTCAGATGTCAGATGCCGGGAGGATTGGTGCCACATGGGTTCTCCAGTGAGACGTCGATGACTAATGTCCTGGGGCAGGTCTCAGCCGTTTTCGTACCCAGTCGCTCATGAACCCGTGGGAGCAATTATCCTGTTAAAGCAACTGTAGGCACACGGGGGAGAGAGGCTCAGAGCACTTGCCGGGGAGGGACCTGACCTTCTAGTTGTCTCACTTCCATTATGGGCTTAGATGCAGCCAGCTGGACGGTGCTCTGAGTGAAGCCACCAGCCGTCTGAGGACGCTTGAAAATAAGAACAACCTGCTGGAAAGAGAAGTGGTGAGTATTTCCTGTTGTTCTAGTGTCGTTTTCAGTCCTCACCGAGGGAGAGAGAGACATTGACGGGAGAGAGACGTTGATCGGTTGTCTTCCATATGCGCCCGACCAGGGATCGAACCCACAACCATTTGTTTTGCTCTGCGGGACGGCGCTCGGCCACGAGCCACGCTGGCCGGGCTGCACCTGCTCGTTGTAAACAGCCGGCTACCTGGCCTGTCTGCAGAGTGATTTCCGAGAGCGCCTCAGCGCCACCAGCAGTGCCTCCAAGGCTCTGCAGGACCGGATCGAGGAGATGCGAGCGAGCGACAAGGAGAAGGACGGCACCCTCCTCCGGCTGAAGTCGCGGCTGCAGGACGTGGAGGAGGCCCTGGAGCACACGTACAGGCTCTCCAGCGACAAGGACACCAGGCTGAAGCAGGAGCACAAGATGTTTCAAGACGTAAGTGACGGCGACCGCTGGGCACGTGCTCGGCGGGGTGACTGGGTGCTGCCCAGGCCCTGTGGCTTCTTCCACTGCGTGTTTTACTAGCTTTGCCGTAGCTGAGATAGGTTCCCTTCCCACGGGGAGAGGTGGGTCTTTTTTGAAGAGCGTGGGCAGTTGTGTTGCAGAGTATCCTTCGGCTGATGTTACGATGTCTGATTCTGTGGTGCGATTCTTTGTTTTTTCTGCAGCTTTTAGGAGAATACGAGTCCCTTGGAAAAGAGCACGAGAGAGTGAAGGTGAGAGCGGGTCACCCTTCATGTGCTGAGCTTGCGGTGGGGGCCGGAGTGGCAGACCCCAGACCAGGGGCTCTGAGCCCCCCCGCCCCACACGGCTGCTGTCACCAACCACTCGTGTTTCCTCTCCCTGCCAGTGGGCTCGTTTTTAGATCTCTCCCCCTGTAACTCACAGGCAGGTGGATTTGTTCATTTAACAAATGTTTATTGAATGGCCGTTGCATTTGAGATGAGTTGAAATTTTTAGAAGAGTAGGAGTCCATACAGATGCAAGTCACTGGCGCCATTTAAATGTGAAGTTTTGTTTTCGAAGCATTGACTCTGTGGGCTTAAACTTGCCCATCGTGTGTGAACTCAGCCAGAGCTGGGTTTGGGAAGCACCCTTCACACTCAGTGAGACCCACGGTGATGCCGGGCGCTGGTTGGTGCACACGGACTGAGCATCGTGGTTTTCTCTGTAGCTCTCTGGTCAGCCTTAGGTTAGCTGTGTGTTTTGCATTTCTAAGTAAAAGGGCTGCATTTGAACGCTTACCTTCAGTTCCCTGAGCATTTCCGTTATTCCCAAAGGACACGTTAAATACGACAGAGAACAGATTGCTCGATGCGCAGACTCAGATCTCTGACTTGAAAAGGTAAGTGTGTCGTCTTGTGACGGGCTCCGGGGCTCGGTCTGTCCGCACTTACATGTGTGTCTACTGAGCGCAATGAAAAGAACATTTTTCCTGAGGGTTTTAAAGCCCTTTGAGATTAGATTTTACCCTAATGTCCCCAACACAGGAATACATTTGATTTTTTTTATTCTTACCCGAGGATATTTTTTCCTTTGATTTTTAGAGAGAGTGGAAGGGGGGAGACAGACAGACACGTAGATTGGTTGCCTCTCGCACAAGCCCCGTGACCTTGGCTGGAATCGAACCCGAGGCCCTTCAGTCTGCAGGGGTTAGCGCACTTGTCTTTCGACCTGCCCTCCCTGGGCCTGGTCGGCTTTCTCAGGTTCATGGTGGGGCCTGACGGTGAGAAGGTTTAGGGCTGCAGCCCCTTTGTCTCCCCTTCTCTAGAAGGGTCTGTTAAATGAGTAATTTGTAGTCGAGCTGTATGTTTAAATTTATTGCAACATATTTACTTTTATCTCACTGCTTTGAACCAGAACAATCTCCAAACTCGAAGCCCAGGTTAAGCAGGTGGAGCACGAGAACATGCTAAGTCTCCGGCATAGTTCCAGAGCTCCAGCGAGGCCCTCGCGTGCCAAGTAAGTCCTTCTGTGCCATCCCTGCAAAGCTAGAAACGGGTGCGCCTTCTCCCGAACTCAGAGGCTCATCTGTGTGAATCACAGGAACGTCAGGGCTGAGTGTCACGACAGAGTTAGATGTGTGAAAACATCCCATTAGCAGGTGTCGCGAAAGCTCTGCCGCGGAGCGAGGCAGTTCTCGGAGGGCGGGATGGTGGCGTCGGGTTGGGGGTGAGGAGAGTGGGGGTGTTTCTGTTTTCTGGCTGTCCAGCTGCATGACCTCAGGCAAATCACGTAATTTTGGGGAGCCCGGTTTTACTATCTGTAAAAATAAGGCCACCGGGCTGAGACATCTCAGGAGGGCGTGTAGCCTAAAAGTCCCGGCGTTTTAGTCCCACGTCGGTGGGAAGGCCTGTGAGGCGGGTTGTCACTGGCTGCTTGGACCCTGCTGCCTGGTTCCTCACCGTTAGCTTTGCTGGCATCTCAGCGCCGCCTCGATGGTGCATTTCCAGAAGACGCGTCTTCCGTTAGAATCGGTTTGTATTGTTTTGGTGGAAGTGACGAGTGTCACTGAGCAGACCATGGCCTTGTTACATTGTAACCGTCAACCTGAGTCGTGGTTGTCCAATGAGAAAGTTTTTCTAGGTCTTTGTCAGTCCGACTTGGTGGAACATAGGGAATTATTTAAAGAAAAATCATATAAGCCACTGAAGTTGAACGTTGAGAGGACGGGAAGGCTGAGGCTGGGCTGGGGCCTTTCTGGGGAGGTGGCTGGAGGTGGGCGCGGGCGGGGCTGTGGGCGTGGGCGTGGGCGCCCGAGGCAGGGAAGCGCCGTCCGCGCTGAGCCCTGATGTAACCTATGGAACAAGCGCACTGCGCTCCTTTGTTTCAGTCACTAACAAGCAGGGCCAGCCGGTGCCGTTTGTTAAAACTGAGTGCGGGCGGGTGCCTGTTCGAGGAGCCTGCATTTTCTAAATTGAAGGCTGAGAAGGAGTGACTGGGCTTACAGTGAAAATCGGTGGGAGAGACGCGCCTGGAGGGTGGCCGTGAGGGGAGCGGGGCGGCAGGCGGGTGGCTCCTGGTGTCAGTTCTCGCTCAGGTGCCACGAGGGTTATGTTATCTCGGGCGGCAGGCCGGGCGGAGTGGCCAGAGGAGGGGGCAGGAGATGGTCGCCGGTTACAGGAAGCTCTGCTGCCCGCAGCGCTGGGTGTCCAGCCGAGGTGGCGAGAGATTGTGTGGCACCCCCCAGCTGCGGGAGCGAGGGCTCTGGGAGGTGAAGGCTCCCGGGTGTGGCCTTCCCGGTGCAGGGGCAGAGAGGGGGAAGAAAAGGAGACGGCTCTAAAGTCCAGCCAGTGACTGGTTATTCGTTAAAATTAAGAAACATTTAGAAATGGGTTCTTCAGTCTCAGTAGCCACGTTTCGAGTGCTCAGTGGCAGAGTGTGACTGGCAGCGGCGGGCGTGGGCTGGGCAGAGAATCCTGTCCCCTTCCCTCCCCTCCTGCCCTGAGCTGGTGCTGGGGGCTGGCCGGGGGGGTGCAGAACTGGGGGTGTGGGAGCCCCTGAGTCTCGGCAGGTTCGGGAATGATCACATCGCAGAGCGTGAAATGACTGTGCAGTTCAGTGTTGAAACCACGACGTAGAATTCGTAGATCTAAAGTGATTGCTGTCTGCGGTTTTTATTTCTGTGCGAGTAAGTACCTTTCAAAGCACAAACCTCGTAACGCCCAGAGCACCCCTCATCCCCACAGCACACTGGCCACCTCGGATGTCAGCCGGCGGAAGTGGCTGATCCCCGGGGCCGAGTACTCGATCTTCACGGGGCAGCCCCTGGACGGGCAGGACAGGACGGTGGACCGGGACCGGCGGGAGGAGACCTGCCTCCCCGGGTGAGATGTCTGTCAAAGTTCGTGCTTAGGGCTGCTGTTTGCCTAGAGATCTCAGTTGCCTTTATATAAAGAGCCATCTCCTTGTTTCCTCAACATGTTCAGTTTAAGGACCTGATTTTTATTTTACTTTGAAAGACTAATGCTCTGCGGACAGTTCACTTTTGTAACTGCGCAGAGCTTCCCTGCTTGTGCTCTTGGCACCGGGTGTGCCACCCATGGGGGTTAAGATAGGATGTGGGTCCTCTCATACCCTGCACCATATACAGGGAGCATTTCCTTTGTGCTGGGATGTGAGACGGACCGGGAAGCGCTGGGCTGTGACGTGCAGGTTCCGTCTTATTTGCATGGTGAAGCACACATTCACTGCAGAGCGTAACTGTCAGCTCTCCTGTTTCCCCCTCACCATCCCAGTGACCTGCGCATCTAGCTCGGCTGCTGCAGCCAGTCACTGTAGACCAGGGGCTTACGCAACCAGCGTCTCTTTCCTACCCTTCTGCAGGGGGAGGTCTGAGGTCAGGTGCCAGCAGGGTTGGGTTCTTGGTGAGGGCCTCCTCCTGGCTGTGTCCTCACTGGGCTTTTCCTCTGGGGGGGGGGGAACAGAGGGAAAGAGAGAGAGATTTTCTCTCTTTTTTATTAGGGCACTAATCCCATCGTGGGGGCCTCACCTTCTTGATCTCATCTAAACTCAGTCAACTCCCAAAGGCCCCACCTCCAGATACCATCACACTAGAATTGAGGCTTCCACATGTGAATGGGGCGGGGGGTGGGGTGTTCAGTCCATAGCACTGTGTGAATTGCGATTGCTGTTGAAGGTTCCATCCTTCTGAGGAGGAGTCTGCGCCCGGAAGTTCACCAGCAAACTTCCTGGTAACGAAACAAAGAGCATCCGACTCGCCGATTGTGAGAGCTCTAAAGGAACTCGAGGGAGAAAAAGTGTTTAAACACTGGGGCACGCAGACCGAGAAAGAGGACACTTCGAATAGTAAGTATTTTACTGTTTAACATGGATGTGGAGAGACAGGCGCACTCCCTTCCCCGACCGTGTTACCTTCTGTGCAGTGGGATCCCCCCGACGCCTGAAAGGCTACTTTGGTTTACTGCTGCTTCAGTCTCATTTCATAGGTAACCGTGTCCCCCAGCGAATAGTTTATCACAGTCATGGCTTAACACGTACCTTTTGTAAGAGAAGATTACGCATTATGTTCTGATTATTAGAGGTTTCTGTGGGGTTCTTGGGATATGTGGCGAGTTTCTGCATCAGGTTTCCTTACATCAGAAAGCTGTGGCAGACGCCTGGTGGTCATAGTGGGCGGGGGCATACCTGCTCCCCTCATGGTGCCCGAGTGCCCAGCGGAGGGGCAAGGGCATCTTCAAGGCTGGTTCTCCTGGTCCAGGGACCTGCCGCTGCTCCTGGTGCTTCCTCTCTGCTCGCTCGCTCGGGCCTGCTCATCACGTCAGTGACGTCTCCGGTGTAGCATCCAAAGCCGTATCTCCTCGTAAATAAATGAGTGACCTGCTTTCCAAAAATAAACTCTTGAAAAAAATCACCTTGGCTTGTAAACAGAACCAGACCAAACGCATCATAAACTCCCACATTTTTCATCTGTAACGTGCATTCACAAGTCGTCATCAGCCGATGGCGAAGGGCTGCTCACTGGTGTGGCCACCTGTTAACAAGGCGGACGACCGAAGCTGGCTGTGTCTTATTTGATTTTTTTTTTACATTTCTCTCAGAATTAGCAAATCCTCAGCAACCTGAAGTGCCCGTCGGTGCGAGTCGGTCCCCAGAGAAGTGCGCCCAGCAGAGACCCCGGAGGTTCAGCTCCACCGCGCAGAGGTCCTCGTCTTTACCGCCTTCCAACCGCAAGTCAGGCACTCCAAGTAAGAGCCAGGCTTCACCCCCCCCGGAGCAGAGGAGCACCCTCGGCGAGCACAGGGACCCTTCCTGTCCCCCTCATGCTCCCTCTGATTCAGGGCCCCTGAGTGGGACCTTTTCTGAGAGTCACATTGTCCGGCTATCCGGATACTGTGACTGTAGCTGAAAAAGTGATCAGCTTATTGAGTGAGATTTTTTTGTGTGTCCAGCAAATTTTTGCCACTAATACCCCTGCACAGTTTTTGAGAGAGTAGCCAACCATTAATTGAACATTGTGCAAACATTAAGTTCGCCTGCGAAGAGACATTCCTTGCATATACTTACCAAAGGTTACTCGGCACCAGCTGCCTTTCTCTTTAGCTGATGACAGGGATGTTTAACATTTAGACGCTGGATTCCATGTCCTCGATTTTCACGTTCACAAAAGCTGGGGCGAGTCCTGTTCGACTGTACTTACAGGAGCGCTCGCGGGCTCTGGCATTGCGTCTTATTTCCAGTCTGCTTCTAAAATCCTGAAAAACCAGTTTTGAGCTAGAGCCGGAGCTACAGTCTGCTGTGTAAAATGTTGGCCTGGTTCCCTCCAGATGTCAGGGTTAGGGATTATTTCATTTTTATCTTTTACACTCTCATTTATCTTTCAGAAAGTTTTACAATGAAGTTGTAATTTCTTCGAAAGTTAGAAAAAAGAACTGAAATATAACGTGGATCATACAGAAGGAAATGTTTCCTCTCGTTTTCTCCTATAGCGAAGAGAGAGATCATGTTAACGCCAGTGGCTGTGGCGTACAGTCCAAAGCGGTCCCCTAAAGAAAACTTGTCCCCAGGGTTTAGCCACCTGCTGAGCAAAACCGAAAGCAGTCCGATTCGGTAAGTTCTCTAAAATTGTAGCATAAAACACGTATATTACTGATTTTATTTTTTTAAATGTCAACTTGTGCCCGTAGCTGTCATTAATTTTCCAGTTAATGGGAACTCTGGATGTAAATCGTGTCAATGAGCATCATACTAAAGACGAAACCGCTGTAATAAATGAGGACAGTCTGTGACTGTGAACTGCCCGCTGCTCAGCGCAAACACCGTCTCAGAACCCTTCCTTCTAGCTCGGGGTGTAGACGATGATTCCTGAGTAGGTTAATGGCATAGGGACCTTTCTGAGCCGTTTGTACAAGAACCTGGGCTGTCCTGGTGTGGCCCTGGCGCTGAGCCTCAGTTTCCTCGGCTCCTGGGAAGTGTCCTCACTGACGTGTGGTCAGCGGTGTGAACTTGGGAGGGGGGCGGCCACTGACTCCTGCTGAGCAGCCCCCGCGGCCCCTGGAGGAATCGCTCGGGCAGCAGACCTCAGTGTCCCCTTCTGTAAGGCGGGGAGAATAGCTGCCCTGCTGACTGTGAGCAGCTTAGATCGGACGCGATGCCGTGGGGGGGATGCTGGAAGTCTAGTGCGTCGCTATAATTTGTGTTAGAAAACACTAAATTTCAGTTCTAGAAAGTTCTATGACCAGCTTTCTTTCTAAAAAAAACATCAGTGTGTGAGTTACCTGGACGCCAGCTCGTCTTTCTAGGGGCGATAGGGAAACCAGGTGACAGTGTTTTCTCACAAGTTACTTGCTTCATTCAATAGATTTGATATACTTTTGGATGATTTAGATTCTGTTCCTGTGTCTACGTCACAACGCACCAACCCAAGGAAACAGCTCCAGTTTCTCCCGCTAGGTGACTCGGAAGGTATGTTTTCCTCCAACATTATTCGTTCTGGCTTTAGTCATTCGTTTTGTTAGTTTCTGGTATCATGTTAAAATTACCTTTACTTACGTATTTTGTAACCAAGGGCCTTTAAAAATAAGCGCTCACGGTGCATCCGCCTTGTGTCCTCTTGGACGAGTTGGGAGACTGAGGTACAGGGATGTTAACGTGTAAACCAGGGCCTGCTGCTCAGTGGTTCTCTCCACTTCATACTCTGGTTTTTATGCAACTTAGACTTTGGGTAACTTTTTAACTTTTTTTCATTTATATGTTAAGTTTGGAATAAAGTTATAAGACAGTGTAGGTGAGGCCATGTGGGCAGTGACCTCTTTAGTGTTGGTATCAATGTCTGTTTAGTTATTAAACTTTTTCTTGCCTTAAATTTACTTAAAGTTCACTGAAGTTTGTATGTATATGTATTTTTAAAAATATGTCTGTTGATCTCAGAGAGAGGAAGGGCGAGGGGGAGAGAGAGAAACATCAATGATGAGCCATTGATGGGCTGCCCCTGCCCACCCCCTGCTGGGGACCAAGCCTGGGCATGTGCCCCGACCGCGAGTCCAGCTGCAACCTCCTGGGTCGTAGTCAATGCTCAACTGCTGAACCACACCGGCCGGGCCATTTAAGTTTATAGAAAGTCTCCATTGGCTTATTTAGGGAGGATTGTCTGACCGAGGCAAAGCTTTTAGATTCGGTGGAGAAACAGCCCTGAGTAACTGGCTGATGTTGCTTCTTACACGTTTGGCCCTGTAGCAGCTATTTCCAGAGAGTGCACTGGGTTAATTTAGTGTGTATGCGAGCTATTTGGAAACTTGATATGAAATAAAAGAAATTTCTTTCCTCTCTGACAGAAAAAAAATATTCAGAGAAAGCCACGGACACCCATGCAAATAGTAGCTCTCCCCCCGAGCTGCTGCCCAGTGGGATGAAGGCCCCAGGGCGACCTGCCTGGGCGAAGGGCGAGCCGGGCAGCTGCGAGCAGTGTCAGTCCACACCCGCCCCTCGCGCCCAGGACTTCGAGTATACCGCCAAAATCAGGACCCTGGCAGAAACCGAGCGGTTTTTCGATGAGCTTACAAAGGAAAAAGACCAGGTAAAAACAAAAAAAATCTTAAAATCTTTTTCTGAACTTATGCTTATGTCTAAGGACCAGTCCGAAGGGAGTCAGTGAGTCAGACACACCCAGGAAGTTGCTGTGAATTTCACACCAACGCTGCACGTGTGTGAGCACAGCTGTGGTTAGCAGTCAGGACAGAGGGACTCGGTGGGGACGGGATGGACAAGCAGATGCCAGGCGGGGCCTCTGCTCTCCGGTCTGTGCTGCACCCCCCCCCCAGCAATGAGATTCTCGTTTTCATTTGAGCTGTTTCGTGTTGACAGATCGAGGCCGCCCTCAGCCGCATGCCTTCTGCAGGAGGACGGGTCACCTTGCAGACGAGACTGAACCAGGTGAAGCGACAGCCTGACTGCTGGGGAGGCGGGCGCTGGTCAGGGCCCGTTTGCTGGGTGATGTTTGAATCACGCTTTTTGCAGGATTGTAGTAGATTTTATAACTTCAGGCCAGCTTTCAGTGTAAAAACAGGTCTTACCTTTACATTCAAGAAGACCCCGTTGTCGCCATTGTTTCCAAGACACGACCTTTGGGCGCAGGGCTGGCTGGAGAGAGGGCTGTGGCCCCTTAGCTCAGCAGGAGGCGGGGCAGGTGACAGGTGCTCCCACCTCTTTCAGCTGCTTTTCAAAGAAAATGAAAACACAGGAAGCCACAGGACACTTAAATTCTGCAACATTTAAACCTAACAGCCGCTCTTGGGTTTCTCAGGGCCTGAGCTCAGGGAAAGTTCATTCCCAGACTGAACTGTGATCCCAGAAGGACAGATGGACAGAAAGTAGCCGCTGTCTCTCTCCAGGGCCTGTAGCCCTAGCTCCTCTTTTTTTCTGTCTCTTAAGTCTTTTTGGTTTTATTGGTTTAGCTGTCCTGGAAGTTTTTATTCAGGAATTTGTAAGATGCAGCACGTGAAACTCTTTTTAAAGTCATTTACTGGGAAGGCAGAAGGAGAGTTGTTGGTACTCTGACCCTAAATCTGCCAGAAACATTTGCCTCGTGAGTTTCCATAGAATGATCGTAAGCTCTTAAAATAAGGCTGGAAGGGCACTGGCGTCTGTTCACACAGGGTGGGCCGAAAGGAAGTTTACAGCTGCGGATATGTGAAACAGCTTATGCTCGTGTTGTTATTTATTACCGTGTTTTCCACGTGAAAACTGTAAACCTCCTTTTGCCCACCCTGAGCATCAAAGCTCGTTCAGCTCAGCAAGAAGACAAACGGCAGCAGAGAGGGGCTGAGGGTGAAAAGTAGCCTCAGCAATGAGTGAAAACAATATGCCTTTAAGCAAAGGCATCAACATTGGCAGGTATTTTTTAAAAAACAGTTCCTGGCTGGGGGAGTAGAAATTGCCACAGACTCTCTGGAGTCCAGCTTGACGTCCCTCCAAACCTAGAACTTTGCCTGCCTGTGGGCCTCGCGCCTTCGCCCCGGGAATGACTCCTCAGGCAGTGCTCACACGTGTGTGCGAGGAGACGAGTTTCAGGGTATCTGGTGCAGCCTTATTTGTGGGTCTAAAATTAGAAGCCACCTAAGTTTCTACTAGAAGGGTCTCCGTTAAATATGGCACATCGATGAATGTTGCACTTAATTTAAACCAATGCTGTAAAAAGATTTCATAACAAGACAAGTTCAGTTGGGAGACATTTTGAAGTAGCGAGTTGGATTCCGTTTTAATTTTTCCTCTTGAGCGTGGTGAGCGTGTCTGCAGGAAAAACAAGCAGAGGACAGTAGTTAGTTACTTCCTCCTGTCCACCACCTGCGCCATAAGGAACATGGGTCCTTTTATAACTAAAGTTTTAAAGAGGAAATTTTAAAGTCTTACGTCAGGGTACCATGGGGGGTACACGCTGAATGAAGTGCCTAAAATGAAAAATACATATTCCAGGTGCTATTTATTTAACATTCGCAGCTGCTACATTGATTCATTGTAAAATCTCTTCCTTGGAAATGTCTCCTCCAGATGTTGTTTTTCTTTTTAACTTGGACATTTTTGTCAGAAGAAAGTCATGTCCGGTGTGCAGCGCTGTGGCCGCTGCCTGGTGGGAGGTCTGGGCCCTCTGCCCTCTGGGCTCAGCGGAGCCAACGCTCCCTCCGTGCGCTTGTGCGGCTGGGCCGGGCCCCCCTCGCCCTCCCGCGAGGAGGGCGAGGCGCAGAAGGCGGTGGGGCGCCGACGCTGGGCCACGGCGCAGCGTGTACAATGACGTCAGCGTGGGTTCCGCTTTCACGGGTGTGCTGTTCTTTTGCGAAAAGAAAGGCCCATCTGGTGGTGACCGGAACGGCGACCTGGCCCAGGCAGAATCCTAACGATGCTCTCCCCCCAGGAGGCCCTGGAGGACCGGTTGGAGAGGGTCAACCGGGAGCTGGGCTCGGTGCGCATGACCCTGAAGAAGTTCCATGTGCTGCGCACGTCGGCGAACCTGTAGCGTTACCCGGCGGCCTGGCCCGGCCCCGGGCTGGCTTCCCAGCCGCGCCCTTCGCAACACTTGCTCTTTTGTACTTAAGACAGCCACATATTTTCAGGATATTTTTGTTACACTCAGGAATCTCTTGTATATTTTACTATTTAGAAAGTGTTATTTTTATCTAGGAGCGACTCCAGTTTATATTGGGGTGAGGAGGTGTGACCGGGCGGCGGCTGGTCCCCACGGAGTGCGTCCTGTTAGTGACCTGTGCCCCGTTTTGTAAGCTTGTCCCACATTGTGTCATTTTTTTAAATAAACGCTTCGGAACAGCTTTCCTGATGGGAGGCTAATGCCGCTGAGTGCAAACCGCTGCAGCGCCCCGGGCGCGGTGCTTGGAGGGTTTACAGCGCTAAGAATTCCTGCCCCGGCCGGCGGCGGGCGCCCCG